GAATGCCCCCCGAGCGTGTTTTCACGAACCTACCCACAACACCACCTGGGCGGGAATTCCCCCAACTTGGGACCCAGGGCCGCCAACGACTCGATTTTCACGTTTCGGGTATTTGCGGCCATCCACCTGGTGCAGCATCGGCGTGAGAATGAGGGACGGAGAGTGGAGGGAGGGGGGGGGTGGAGAGATAGAACGTAGCTGGGTTTGGAGGGTAAAAGGGCGAGTTGGTGGGGGGGGGGGCAGTGGGCGGTTCAGATGTAGTAAAATAGATTGCTGGTGAAATGGTAACAGTTTTACCTGAAACACTGAATATCGTTGGTGTAACATAATNCCACTCTCCGCAAAAAAAAAAAAAAAAAAGAAAAAAAAAATCACTAACACTAGTAGTTTAGCTCCTGGAATTTTAACACTTCAACCAGTAAGTAAGACCTACTGGAATCCCCCAGAATTCTGAGGCTGATCGTAGGAAGGTTTAGACATAGAATTTTCTAGACCAGAGTCCATTAGTCTTCCACTTACTTTGATGAGTCGTCAGATTGGGCTCATGTATAACCTGATACATATTGCGCGCGACCATGGCGGGTATTGCAATGAATAAAGGGGTCTCATGATCCATGATCATGATGTCATTTTTAATAGTATAATATGCGTTTTAATGACAGTTGCGTAGCTACAACAGTGCAGGTGGTGTCACCGCACCAGGGCCCGAAGCCAAAAAGGAGCCCCAGCATATAAAAAATATACAATTTTCCGGGGCCCATTTTACATCTGGCAACCAGTGCCCACGCAACTCTAACTACGCCACTGTCCGGTGGTATTACTTTGGTACAATGGGGCTCATCTTTACCATGTCCGATATCAATGCATAGCTGTACATTTCTTTAAACGCACTGCCATAACGTAATTAATGGCTTCATGGTTCAAACGTTCTCCCACAACGGTAGTGCTATTTGCCGATGTTAGAGACAGTTGCAAGCAGTGGCGACGCCATCAAATTTAACATGACGGGTCCCTTGCAGGTCTTAAAAAAATTTGGTGGGTCCCAAATAAATGTATTAAAAATAAAACAGGGGGGAGGGGTTTCGAAATTCGCGATGTTTTTGCGTACGTAATATATGGATTGCCTCTTACAAGTTAAAACTTAAATTTTATATATATTACATTTTATGAAGTTATATTGACTTTTTTTGTCGATAAAAATTTAAACATATAAAGGCATTTAAAATGGAAGTTCTGTTACATGTAATGTAGTTTACGCTTAATGAGCATATATACAATATTAGTAACTAATAAAAATTTACCAGGTCATTTTCCAGGTCCCAAGTTTTTTTACAAGGTCCTGGGACCCGGTGGGAACTGGTGTAGCGTCGCCACTGGTTGCAAGTGGCAGGATGATTCTTTCCAAGAATACACAATGTCCCCCAGCAGTTCGGTGATGATGTTCTGATTTCAAGACAAAATTCCACGACGCGTTGCTAGTGGTAGGATCAGTTGCCGTCTTAAGGCACGGGCCTAGAGGGCACTGGCCCAGGGCCCAGCGCTTGTAGGGGGCCAAACGTTTCTAGGAGACTCACTCTTATAGTGGCATCATGCTTTACATATTGTAAATGAATGCTATATTATATTACGCAAACGATTATGTTGATTTATATCACATAATTTATTTGATCTATCTGTCAATAATGATAATTTATCATCCTCTGTGATTATGTATATCCGGTAATTAATTACCTAAAAAAAAAGGGGGGGGGGTGGGTAAATAATGTTGTTGTTAAAAAAAAATGTACATTACTTTATTTAAGTTGAGCTCGCCACCATCACGAATCTTTTTGTTCCCTTCTGTATAACAGCGAAGAATTCACGATAAAGACCGCGGGAGCTATCTATCACGAGCACCTGTACCCTAATATTCATGACATATCGCTTTTGCAACCACTCACTGCTAGTTTGAAAGATAAAGAAGTAAAACGAAAAACTTTAAAAAAAAAAAAAAA